TGTGACACACGTTCCTGGTGACATTGCGTGACATCAATCTAATTCCTATCTATAGACTTTTCTGTACTTTGAAAGAGTGTTAAAGTTATGTTTCATTCAGAGAAGACAAATTAAATAAAAAAAGCTTTTGAGGATAGCGAGACAGCTCAGAGGGCTAAGCGCTTGCCTGGCAAACACAAGGACCTGGGCTTGATCCCAGGTACCTCATGCTATGCCAGCCTGGAAACCCCAGACACACTGTGCTGGGCCCAAATCAGACATGGTGATACATGCCTGTAATCCCAGCACTGGGGAGGCTGGAAGACCTTGTAACAAATAAATAAATTTTAAAAATTCTTTTTAATTTAAAAATAAAACTTCCATGTAAAAGTAGTCAATAACTTAAAAGCAGTTTTGTAAGTCTAACAACTAATTTTAACCTGAGAAATAAAATGCCTAAGATTATTAGTATAAATTTAGGTTTCAAAATGTTTTACAAGACATAGTAAATTCTGAGATATGAACAAATACTGACCTATAGCTTTTAAATTTGCTTATAATTTTGATATTTTAGTCACTCATCTTCTATATTATTTTATCCTACAACCCTACTTCAGAGGAATAATGCATGTCTCAGAAAACCAAAGTAATTTGGTGAATGCCATTTTTTAAATCATCAAAGGTAAATTTACTAAAAAATGTTAAATAACTTAAACACAAATTGCCATCTCTGGGATTAATCATCATTACTTGCTGAGCAGAAAGAAACAATTGCTCTGCTTAAAAACCTGTATTCCTGGCTGGGGAGATAGCTCAGTGGTTTAAGCACCTGCCTGGCAAGCACGAAGTCCTGAGTTTGATCCCTTGTACCAAAAACAAAACAAAAAAGCCCTGCATTGTATCCATTCCTCTACTTAGAAATATCATTACTGAAATCACTAATAAGACACATTTCAATTAACTTGGACCATGGGTTTCATACATAAAATTCCCTATGAGTCTTTGTTTTAAAAATTAGAACATCCTTGTTAGTCATCATTTTTATATTAATTTAAATAAAAGCACACTTTTTCCTTAAATAAGACACGGTATTAATTTTGTAACCATAAGCAAGATCCATGTGACCATTTCGTTGAATTGTTATTGAACCTTAATGTCGTATTTTGGTCAAAGCTTTTAAAAAGCTACAAGGAGACAATGGGGCCAGGAGTTAGATACAGGAGCTGGGAGTTCCATCCCCAGGCCTGCCGTACTGGCTCCACCCCCGCAGGGCGTGCTGAGGCTGCAATTGAGACTGGGCATGGTGGTGCACCCCTCTAATTCCAGCACTTGGGAGGCTGTAAACAGAAGGATCACTTTGAGTCCAATCTACACAGTCAAACCCTATGGACCCTGTCCTAATATAAAAAAAAAAAAAAAAAAAGCTATAAGGACTCTCCCTACCCTTGTTTTACATATTAGGGGAACACTTAAGGGCTCACTGCCCTCACTTTCTTCATTTATCTGTTTCTCATAGTGTTGGGGATCAAACCCAAGGCCTTGAGCATGACAGACAAATGTTCTGCCCCTGAGCTAGATTTTCTGTGAACATTTTATCACAGGCAACAACGCAGCATACTTCTATGATCACCTATTAACCTCTTTTGGCAAGATATACTGTTTGAATTGTTTAGGTGAAACGAGTTAGATATGAAATTGCTACTGTGTGGTGGATCTGAGTGATTCAAGTTCTTGGAACAGTAAGCAATGAACTGCGAAGTGTGCACACGATGGTGGAGGAAAGGCAGCTTTTCATGGAAGGTTACGAATGAGAGAAGTGGATGACTGAAAAGGAACACTGCATGCTGTGCAGAGAGATCACCTTTAGGATCAAGTGTGAGTGTGAAAAAAGGGGGGCTTGCATGTACTTTGGTCTGGAGTTACAGAATGCGCCTGAGGTGGTGGCCGAGCTCCAGTGGGTGGAAGCGCAAAATTCCTCATCCTATCTGTACTAAAATGGCTTATGGTGGACATAACCGCTCAAGCAAGTCGGAAGGCAAAACTCATCTTTCTTATTAAAAAAAAAAAAAAAATCTCTCATAAAAACACTCCATTATTTTCTGGTCTGTGCTGCTGACATTAAACTCATCTCCTGATAAATGGTTTCAAAATTCACTTCACAGCAAATGTGAACACATATTAGACACATGTATGTAACAGATGATACTGATGAACTGCCTTTATTAGAATAGCTTTACTTCCATCAACGGAGGTGATTTATCTTTGATTGATCTTTCAGAAATTATCAAACTACAACAGTAATGAGAATTAAGTGATGTACAGCAATAATAGAAGCCAGATCATTTTGGACTTTATAGTTGAGCTTTTATACTGCTTTAAGAAGCACTAATAGTATTTAAGAAAATGGGTGACACAACCTAAATTTAGTAAGACCCATTTCTACCAAAATAAAGCCAAAAAACAAAAAAAAAAGTTAGGTCACCGCTCTAACAGAACCTTGTGAGCCATGATGGTTAAAGTAATAGACCAATAGTAGATGGATTCTGGCTATTACCAGAAAAATGTTCTGATTACAAATAACCAAACACCCAACCTAAGGAAACTTGCAGGCTTATTTCCCAGGAGGTCTAGTCCTAGAGCAGGCTCCAATGACATCATCAAAGATCCCTGTACTTTGAGATTTTATCAGCATGATTCTCAACATAGAAGGGTGATTTACTACTAGCAATTAAGACTACATACTCCTTAATATATTCAGAAGAATCAGAATTCATGTGGCCATTTTTATGATGCAGAACTACTTTTGGCCAGATCGTGCTTGCCAATTTCACTGGCCCTAAGTTATTTCAACCTGTATCTCTTATCTAATCAGTTGCAGATGCCATGTACCCACCAAGTTTGGCTCAAGATGGCTGAGCCCCAGCACACCCTGAGCTGACAATGGTGTTGGTGTCAGCTTGTCTCAAGTCACATGTCCTATACAAAAGGCAGGAAGGCAGGAAAGAAGGCAGGACACTTTAAGTGAGGTGAGATGAGGCTTCACTAGGTGGGCCAAGGGGGCAGGAAGTTGTCAGCTACATGGAGCACAGTTTGAAGAGCTGACTGGCTTGTCAATGGAGTGAATACTAAGAGAATGCAGAATGCAGTCAGTTTTTGTATTGCTGGCTTTGTCTCTTATAAAAAGGTCTCCACTGTTTTCTGGTCTATGCTGCTGATACCAAACTCTCCAACTGACATCGAGGAGAAAAAGCAAGATGTGGAAGACTGAAGGAAAGATCAGACATTTTTGGTGTTGAGACAGGGTCTCACCCAGTAATTCTGGCTGGCATTGAACTTGAAAAATCCTTCTGCCTCTACTACCCCAGAGGCAGGATTTTGTTTTCACCAAATTAAGATTACTAAAAAAAACTGTACAATACATACAGCAAAGAGTCTAGTTAGGGTAGTGCAGACAGAAGCCAAGATTCAGAGATGGAGTACAACAGGAGACATCATGATGCTGGACGAGCCCAGCATCATGTGTGGGGATACAGACAGTGGCGGGCCAAAAGGGCGGGACATACTGCCCCTCTCCACTTGTCAGCATAGTACAAAACGGAGATGGACCTGTAAAAATACAGCACAGACCAAAACATAAAAAGCAAAGCACTGTGACTACCATGTAATTTTCCAAAGTACTGACTACAGCGTCAAAGGCAAATATGCAGTATTTCTTACCATGCTGGAACAATAACACGGCTGGCTGCCTGTGCAGAACTGGATTTACGAAAGTGTAAGTTATATGTACGGCTTTCATACTTTTCAAAGTTCTTTTGTGCTTCTTAATCCATTTGATCTTCTAGCGGTTGTCAGGCAAAGCAGATTTATTCTCAGGAGAAAATAAATTTCTGTCTAACCTCCATTTTAGAACTTGTCTGCAGCATTGTTGCAGAAACCTTACAGCTGAAATTACTCAACAGTAGTAGTAATTCTACTTTTTTAGGGAAGTTTGCAAATATTCCTTCAAAATCTCAGTAGTTGAATTCCAATCTAAGCTTATCAGAATTCTTTCCAACCCAATTTAAATCTCTCCCTTAGCAGTAGGTATGGCAATAGAAATCACTGCAGAAACTTTACTATACTAATGCTTTTTATAGTACAGTACATTATGCTTAGTATGTTGATAAAAATATTTTGAGTCTTGTTCCCTAATTTTAACAGAAGATAGTATCTTAAAACTGTGAGCAAACATCCAATATTCTATATAGGCCACTAACATTGTTCTCAACGGTTTCAGCAACTAAGTAAGTAACACTTTAAATGATTAATATACACAGGAGCCAGGCATCAGAGTGGGTGAGCCCAAGGCGATGCATCTGCTGTCCTCTCATACTGCAATCTCTTCCCTGATTACAAGCATTCTTCTGCTCAGTGCCATGCAACAAAGTACTCGGAGGCCTTGGGAATCACCGGATTCTGTTGTGGGGTGCAAGGACTTAGGTGTGCGGGAGCCTGGAACCCCGGAGAACTGCCCCATCCTGAGGCGTCTTCGGCTGCAAGCAGACTGCCCTGTGGAAGGGCTGTTTTCTTCTGTGAAAGTTTTCAGCAAGAGCACACAGTGTTTTAATTACTTTTTTTTTTTTTTAACTACTCTTATACTCTTACTTTGTCATGAAGTTTTTCCACACAAAATAAATTTATAAATAAATGAGCTGAAAAAACAGGTTTTGAAGCATCACCTTACAAAGGTCACTAAATATTGCATAAGCTATGAAAACACAGATGTTAGATTTAATGTGTTATAAAAATAGTACTTCATAAAACTGGACTAATATTTAATTGATGTGACTTAAGGAAAGTACCAAATTGGGAACCTGATGAATTTTAAACCCAGATCATTGAACCTCAGCCTCACTGAACATCACGAGAAAGAAAAAATATGTAATACTAAATTTTACTGTTTCACTTCACTAAGGCTCTGAAAAATGATGTGTAAGATTAATGACTAAACCGCAACAGCAAAAGATTAAGACTGAACCAAATCAGGATTAAACCACATTTATTTTTTTCTTACAAAAAAATCCAAACAAATAATGAAATAAATGTATTTCTATAAGCATTCTATCCTGGGTTCCTTGTCCTAGAATTTAGTATACGGTTCATATTGAGAGTATGTCAACTCTTCTTCTGGATGTTATGACGTCTCCATCTTATAACCATGTTTCTCTAGTTCAGCTCTATAATAAAACATAAAGAACAGTATCAGTAGGCATTTCTTTATGATAAATCAAAAAATGTTTTTAAGAAATAGCACAATTTATAAATATTAAGTCCCCCACTTACAAACGAGCTCCATTCTGGAAGAACGTTCGTAAGTTGGATTCACTGGTAAGTCCAACAAAGTGTTTTCTTACACTGTATTTGCATTTTTGTTTCCATGGATATTGCTTTGTACTTCCTAGCTGTCCCCTCCACATCACCACTGCTTTTCCTCTTCCTTCCGGACATCCTGGGCTCTGTACAGCAAGCACATAGCAGCATAACTATGATAATGTCTAGCAGACATGTGAGCTACTGCTGTGATTTGCCTGCAACTAGAAATGATCATAATGCAAGGTCCACTGGTACCTGTGAAACTTTCCAACTTGCATGTAAGTCATGGACTTACTGAAAATTGATGAACTAAGCCTAGGACATCTACTTAAAATATTACTACATGGTTTATTTTAGAAAATAAACATATACACAAGGGAAACTGGATGTGAATCTCTTTTTTTTTCTTGGTACCAGGGATTGAACTCAGGACCTTATGTTTGCCAGGCAAGCACTTATTCCACTGAGCTATCTCTCCAGCCTGGATGTGAATCAATAATTTTATCTTCCTTAATTTTCCTATTGATCAATTTATGGAAGAAACTTGAGGGATTTACAATGATCTTCCAAATAATTCTCAAATACTATACAAGTGTTCTGTTCCTAATAAGTATTTAAATGCAGTTTTGTTCATTTTTGCTTTAGTGGTTGCTAGGGACTGAACTCAAAGCCTCATACAGACCTAGCATGTACTCTATCAGCTCTGCTCCCCATCCATTAGGTGTAAATTTGAAGAATCATTAATTTTAGTGGTAAGTACATATGAATATCAAATCTTTTAATAATTTTATAATCATAACATGTATTACAGCTATACACACAGAAGGAATAGACTGCTTCCCATATTGACATAATGTATTGTCCTAACCAATAAAGAAATTTTAGTCAAATTTAAGGATATGTAAGAATTTTGTATTAACCTTATGCAGTCAAAATAAATAGAATGTATTTATAAAATTTCGCTTCCCTAATTTCAAATGTGGATGAAAATATAAAAAACTTACATGCAAACATGCACTGAAGAGATACAGTATCATTTAACTTATCCAGGCTGAAATTTCAGTCATACTTTAAGAACCGACAATCTCAGTTGTTGATGTGCTTTGTATAAAACATTTGTATAAAAAAGTTTAACCCAATAATCAACTGGAACTACTCTGAATGACCATCTCTACTTCAATTCAGATTTTATAACTGACCATGAGAAAACTGGAGGAACTCTACAAGACATTATATAAAAGTACAGTGTGGTTAATATACTTTGTCCATTATATCCTGGAGGATAAAGATATCTGTTCAAGTATAATTTGGCTTAGGTACCATTATAATATTCTATGTGACTATAATGTAAAAAATCACATGGTAGAAATAATGTACAGTATTATTCATTTTTCCAAACTGCTTCATTTTGCTAATCTTTTAGTTATAATAGAAATACCTAATTTCCATGTATTTTATCAAAAAGAGACTATCTTATTATCTGTTTGTGTGAAGTGCTTAAGAGTGAGCTACTGGTATAAACACTGGTTTAGAAGAGTCCAGAGTGCAAGCCCTGCCTCTAGTCTTTGTTTCCTTAAATTTAAATTTTTTCATTAGGGTTCCTACCCCTCCCCTTAAGAAACTGAAGACTTTATTATCTGTCTTTCATAGATAATCACTTATCTCCTCTGTTTTGAGAGCTAAATGAGAGAAGTTATACACATGTAATATGGTATTAAAATAAGAACTAAAGCCAAAGGGAAGACTAAAAGCTGCTATTTTTGTTGATCACAGAAAGCTCCCTAAATGTTTCCTAGAAAAACTGTTACCGGTCTTCTGGGAATTTGGTAATTTTCTTTGAATCTCATCTTATGCTGAAAGTTTATATTTTTTCTATTTAAAATGGAAATAACTGTAAAACTTTTTTAAACATTAGTATTCGGCTCCCTTTTATGCAATCACTACTGGTAATTCACTTTTTCTTCTTTTAACAACAACAGCAACAATAACAATAAAACCCACTAGAGTTCATCTAAGAGTTAAATAACAAATAGGCCAAATTTATCCTGTTGGTTTGTGCATATTTACTTTTCTGATGCGAGGTGGTCACCAATGACATGTAACAAACTGTAAATAAAAAGGAAATGAAGTGCTGTCAACTAATTTCTTAGAAAAAATGCAAAGTTCTTTACTAGAATTTAACAGTATATTAAACTGAAAGAAAATAAATTGAGACCACTAGGTAGAAAACAATCACCAATATTATGAATATAGCATGAATAAAAAAATCCAAAAAAGACAAGTGGGGAGAAATCCAGCAGACCTGGAATGGCATAGAATACAGACAGCAAATGCAGACTACCTGAAGCAAAAGCAACAGCACCCTTTGCAAACAGAACCAGAACAGCACTTGCAGCAATAAGGAGGTCCTCAGCATCACTACTGTGACTGCATCTGATATGGTAAATCACAAACTACACTGGCTTCGAGTTTTTATGTAAGATGTAGTGTCAGGAAAAGCACCAAGCTTTCTCTCCTAAATACAGAGAAACAAATGCTATCAGGTGAGAACAAAACAGAAGAAAGAATGATACTCAGTTGGCTATACTGTATATCTGTTTTTCAAGATCATTACATTGAATGAGGAAAAAAGAAAATGGCAAATGGGTAGCCTGTTAGGTTGAGAATTTCTGTTTAACAAAAACCATATTCTAAATATATATATATATACACACACATATATATATATGCACACATACATCTATATAATCTTTACAATAACCCTATGAATAAAGTATTAATTATCTGTATTTTACAGTGAGAAAAGTGAGTCAAAGGAAGGCTGAACGATTTGTTCAAAGAATGTCAGAAAACAGTGAAGTAAGTTCTTTACTATGACTCATGACACCACAGTAAGGGCCTCCACACACATATTATAAAGATCAGGATGAACACCTTTGCAGGAAACTTGTTAATCAATACCAATTAGTTAAAGGACAGGTTGTGCTGTTCAATATGATAGTTATATGTGGCTGCATGTGTGTGTTACAGGGCACTGAACCCAAAGCCTCTGCACTGAGCTGTCTCCCTATCACTTTATTTTTTGAGGCAAGGGTTTAAATCACTCATATTCCCAGGCTGGCTCATACTTGTGATCCTCCTACGTCAGCCTCTCAAGAGTGCTGCGACTGCAGGCATGTACTCCCATATCCAGTTTTATGTGGCTACTTAAATTTTGAAAATTCTGGCTCTTCGTCTGCACTATCTACATTTCATGTGCTCAAGATTCATTTGTGACTACAGGTTTCTATACTGTATAGCTTACAAAACATTTCTATCACTACAGTAAGTTCTGTTTGACAGCACTAGTGATAACATCGATAACCTTAGATAAAAAGCGTGCCTTAAGAGCAGAATAAAAAGCAGATAATTTATCACTAAAGGATATATCACAGTTCATACACATACAAAAATCAAAGGGCCCAAAGGCAGGAACAGAGAAAAAAAGAGCACTTACAACAATTATACAAACAGCCACAAAGAATACAGTATATAGATAATGCTCTACTTTTTGCTACTCTTTTGTTCTCCCCAGTACTGGGGATAGAACTTGGGACCTTACGCTTGCCAGGCAGGCTTATGCCACTGAGCTTTTTTCCTGGCCCTAATCTCTATTTTTAAGACAGTAAAAAGGCAAGACAGTAAAAAGGCAAGAAGTAGTACCTTTAAGAAATTCAATTACTGACACATTTACTATGACAAGAAGTCTGATAAAAACAATAATCTCAACAATCTCTTGAATAATTTTTAAGAGAAAGGTGCTATCATAATGAATAGATCAAGAACAAAAATGTGATTCCTGAATGGAAAATGAAGAAAACTTCCTTCTGCCTTAATTTTTAAAATTTCAAGAAGGTATCAGAAAAGAAAAAAACTGAACTATGATTAAAAATATGGAATAGGACTTAACAGCATCAGACGGCCTGACAACATACGGCACAATATGACTCCAATGAAGAAGAAAAAGGAGATGCATATTTTACACAAAAAGTGGCAGGGCAAGATGTTCTCTAATGTGGCTCAGTTTTAAAATTTTACACACACACACACACACACACACACACACCACAATGCAAAAGCAAAGTAGACATACTTCATACAAAGAATTGAGTTGGCCCCAGAATAAAGTGAGGTTCATTTTAAAAACATCTTTTTAACAGCTATCTTTTGGTGAAAGAATATGACAAAGAATGGGTCCAATGCTTAGTACAAATAATGTAACTTTATCAGATGTCAGAAAGCAATATAATTCCTGACCAGCTATTTGTTCTTACATCTAAAATTGTAAAAGGAAACACATCAAAAAGACAAATTAGCCGGGGAGATGGCTCAGTGGAATAAGCGCTTCACTAGCAAGCGAAAGGGCCCGAGTTCAATCCCCGGTTCC